CCTGCTGTGGCATGATAGGTGGTGATGTTACTGTTGTCTCACTCCTGCTGTGGCATGATAGGTGGTGATGTTACTGTTGTCTCATTCCTGTTGTGGCATGATAGGTGGTGGTGTTACTGTTGTCTCACTCCTGCCAGACGTACAATCAGCTCCACACTGCCAGACGTACAATCAGCTCCACACTGCCAGACGTACGATCAGCCCTACACTGATAGACGTACGATCAGCTCCACACTGCTAGACATAAGATAAGCTCCACACTGCCAGACGTACGATCAGCTCCACAATGCCAGACGTACGATCAGCTCCACACTGCCAGACGTACGATCAGCTCCACACTGCCAGACGTACGATCAGCTCCCCACTTAGTAACTATGACTAGTTCTTGGTCAGCCTTGTTTACTGTTAGTTGTGATTTGTTTGTAAGAGGAGATGCACGTCCAAGGTGACCATCTGTTGACACTTGATTCTGAAGATGATTTAATCCAAGTAGCCAACATTTGCCAGACAGACAGACAGACAGAGAAGTAAATAGGTGGATAGACTTTCCCAACAGTGCCACATGATTCCCCCAGACAGTGCCACATGACTCTCCCAGACAGTGCCACATGACTCTTCCAGACATTGCCACATAAGTTCCCTAGACAGTGCCACATGATTCCCCCAGACAGTGTCACATGACTCTCCCAGACATTGCCACATAAGTTCCCTAGACAGTGCCACATGACTCTTCCAGACATTGCCACATAAGTTCCCTAGACAGTGCCACATGACTCTTCCAGACATTGCCACATAAGTTCCCTAGACAGTGCCACATGATTCCCCCAGACAGTGCCACATTACTCAGTGCCCAGACAGTGCCACATGACTTCCCCCAGACAGTGCCACATGACTTCCCCAGATAGTGCCACATGACTCTTCCAGACATTGCCACATAAGTTCCCTAGACAGTGCCACATGACTCTTCCAGACATTGCCACATAAGTTCCCTAGACAGTGCCACATGACTTCCCCAGACAGTGCCACATGACTCCCCAGACAGTGCCACATGACTTGAAGAAAAACAAGAAGATAGAAAGAAAGAAGAAGGAACAAAGGTCTTGCTCCGTCTGCAAGTAACAACAATCGCCAAGCGTGTAGGAAAATTATAGTGTGTCAAATAAACCTCATGAGTGTAGGCGGTGACGTGCTTAAGAGTTTTGGGTAAGAACACACGGGGTAGGGCAGGACACACGTAGGTAGGGGCACATGGGTAGGGGTAGACACACGTGGTAGGCAGGGACACACGGGGTAGGGCAGGACACACGTGTAGGGTGGTAGGGCAGTAGTAGGCAGGTAGGACACGTGGTAGGGGCAGGATACACGGGGTAGGCAGACACACGGGGTAGGGCAGCACGTGTAGGGCAGGACACACTTGGTAGGGCAGGACACACGGGGTAGGGCAGGACACACGTGGTAGGGTAGGAAACACGTGCAGGTGGTGTAGAATGAAGCAGGTCTTTGTTGCGGTGATAGTCTGTCACATTATTAGTGGTGACAAATAGCTTTATTCCCTTCCTCTGTGTGTGTGTCGTATCCGGTGTTCATTAGGATTTGTATCTAACAGAAAAATATCCGGATAAATTAAATGAATTGTGGTGTTCTGTTTTTATCTGTAATTATACCTTTTCGGTTTACCGGTTTACCGTAGCTCTTGTGAGAGGGGGTGTAGAGGGGATTTTTAACGCTTGTGTAGTCGTCTAAAAGATACTGACAGCAGCCACGGTCGAATGTAAACAAACACCCTTCCTCCTGCTCCCTCCCTCCCTCACAGATGCATCACTTGCTGCTTTTATCTTCAGTAACATTATTCTAATTATCTCGTGTGTGTTTTTTTGTGTGATTTGCCTCATCCTGCTTCTGGAGTTATCAAATTTCAGGTTTAACACACACACACACACGGACTAATTTATGTGTTGGTTTGTGTGAGGAGCAAGTAGTGAGCAGCTCGACATCCAGAGACCCACACCGTGTTGTTCCCTGCCTCAGTAAGTGGCTCCTGGCGGTGGTAGTTGTTGTTGGGTTACATCTCCCTCCCTCCCTCCCTTCCTGGACCATCCTCAGTAATACCTCCTCGCCCTGGACCAGTGTGGACCACCCTAAGTAGTACCTCATCGCCCTGGACCACAGTAGTACCTTCTCGCCCTGGACCACAGTAGTACCTTCTCGCTCTGGACCACCCTCAGTAGTACCTCATCGCCCTGGACCACAGTAGTACCTTCTCGCCCTGGACCACCCTCAGTAGTACCTCATCGCCCTGGACCACAGTAGTACCTTCTCGCCCTGGACCACAGTAGTACCTTCTCGCCCTGGACCACAGTAGTACCTTCTCGCCCTGGACCACCCTCAGTAGTACCTCTTTGCCCATGACGACCCTGACAGTCCAATCACTCCCACAACGAATCTGATAAGTACAATTTACTTCAAGTGCCGCTTTAATACTGTCTTTGTCTCCCCCTACAACGACTATCAGAAGGTGACGTCGTTATCGCCTCACTCTGACGACCACCAGGGCGACGTTGTGTCAGTGTGTCAGGTCATTATAACTCGACATATGTCTCTGGTCATATTTATTTCTTCACTGGAGCTGATTTGTCAAGGTAAGACCACACTAAAAAACTGGGAGATTATTGTGTGTGTGTTTGGGGAGGGGTCAGGGCTGTGTGTGTGTTTGGCGGTCAATGCTGTGTGTGCGTGGTGTCAGAGCTGTGTGTGTGTGGTGTTGCAGTTTGTCAGCATCTGTTAGTTTATGGGTTGCGTGTTGGCCGTGAGACACAACACAAGTCTTGCCTGTGGTTAAATCCTCGTAGTGTTAGCACATAGTGTCAAGGAATTTCCAGGCGAGTTGTGTGAGACCAAATCCTCCCTTAACTCACCCGGTCCTTTCTTAAACAGTGCCAGGCGAAACACGAGCGCCTGGCATACTGTTTACTTAATGACTGTGCGTGTGGGGTTCCTTCGTCAGGTGCCATGCAGTCACCAAGTCGTACACCTGGTGGAGTTGTGTGGTTGTATGTCAAGTGGGCCCCCAGTCTTCAGGGGTCCAGTTCTTAGGGTCAGGTTTGGGTATGTTAGGACCGGAGCACTTTGACTAACCATCCTCACGCAACCCTGTGTGTGTGTGTGTGTCGTCTCAAGCAGATCAGTTAAACTAGTGTGTAATGAATCGTAGGTTAGAGTCATCAGGACCCTGTGATCTGACTGTACCTGGCTGGTTGGACATGATAACAGGATACCTGGCTGCTCCCTTGATGGACCTGTTGTGTGTGAGGCCTGGTTTGGTAATTACTTGCCCTAGTGAACTTGACTGAATTACCTGCTCAACAAGACCATTAATACTGCCACAGTGTATTGTGTTTATATATAGCCCACCTGTTTTGTTCTTAATCCTTTCCTTAATTACAGGTGAGGTCTCGTACACAGTTTAATGTGGAAACGTCAATTGTTAGTGTGTGACGGGTGGTGGTTAGTTCATTGATCATTGAATTATTAAGCATTATTGAGTTTTAATTCGTCAATTTCATTCAACCCGGAAGTTAGAAGATTGACCTATGGCTGTTGTACTGGCAGGGAGGTTGTGGTCGATGATGGTACTACATACTGGAGGTCTCGGGTCCCACTGAAATATTGACGTTGTTGTAATGGCACAGATGTTTGACGACACTGGTGCTAGGGTCTCGGGTCCCACTGAAACAGATGAACGAACCACAGACGTATTTTTTTGCAGTGGAATATAACTTCTGACGACAGTGGTGCCATGGTCTCAGGTCCTAGCGAGTGCACATCACCTCCAATGACAGTTCCTGAAAAGCCACGCACTTGTATCGTTCAGTGGCTCCTGACACCCTCTTCAGGACAGTCACTTCTCGTGTGAAAGTTTGTGTGAGTGAGGAATGTGTATGACATGCCTCGTGCTGCCTCTCACACACCCTTATGCTCCTCACACACCCTTATTCCTCTCACACTCTTATGCTCCTCACACACCCTTATGCCTCTCACACACCCTTATGCCTCTCACACACCCTTATGCTCCTCACACGCCTTTATGACATGCCTTGATATTGCGGGTGGTGTGGGTGGTGCTTGTGGGTGGTGTCTGTGGGTGGTTCTAGACGTTGCCGTGTTAGGTGCAGGACGTACAAGTGTTGTCAGGTCAGTAGGCTAGTGGTGGACGTTGGAGCGGGAGGCATGTGTTGTCACTTGTGGGTGGGAAGTGGGTGTGTGGGTGGAGAGGTAGACAGTGCGGGTGGTGCTTGTTGAGATGGTTTGGTAGGTGGGTCAATAAATGACGTGAATGGGGATGATAACGTGTAATTCCTACGTGTCAGGTCGTATTGTGGCTGTTATGAACCACCTTGTTTCATGACGCCCTGATGACTGGGATCGTTAATCCAGGTTGGGACGTCTTACGGCTCCTGCTGAGAGGAATTCAGATGTTTGGAGGCTATGAAAAAATTGCAGGAGCGCACTGGCCTCTCTCTCGCGTAGAGCCGATATTGGAGTGAACGGCGCATCCCTGCAACAACACCACCACCGACTCACACTTCCTGAGTCATTCCAACTCTGGGTGTATTTCTGCTGGACCTGACTGTTTATGGTGTCATGTACGAGTATCGTGTGTAGAGGAAGTTTCCTGGAACCAACATGGAGCTCACATTAAGCTTTATTAATAGCAGCTATGGTGACAGCTGGCACGGGGCTGCGCCAAGATGCAACAGTCTTTGTTTACAGCTGGATCTTCGGTAACAAATGACTGTCATTATTTATTTGACATTTCAGTGTGTATGTTATGCACAGTGAAGTAATTGATAACGCTGGGAGCAAGAAATATAGGGAATCTTTGCAGTATTAGCCATGTACGCAGAAGGCCCAGGTTGTGTCGAAGGCGGTATCTGGCAAGAGTGTGGGGATGGGGGGAGGGAGAGGGCAGCGGCGCGCTGTAGTGTTGCCGATGGCTTCAGTTTACATCACGGTCTCGTTGGGAGAGACGGTTCTTAGTCTGTTATTCCCTTCGGACTGGTCGATAGCTAAGGCCAGAAGGTCTGATCACCTGTAGTGTCCTGTTGCAGGTGTAGTGCGTGAAGTAAGGCGCGACAAGAGTTGTAGGAGTTGAGTTGGTGTCAGCCATGAGTGTGGGGGCAACAACCTGCACTCTGGCCCTAACTCTTCGCCTGCGGACAGGCCCACCTGACAAGCGGACTTAGCAACGCCGTTCCAAAATAGAGGTGTGTGCATGTGCAAGAGTGACGACGCTCCTACACTCCTAATTCGCGCCCATGACCGTCAGGCCAGACCTCTCTCTTCTCAGTTGGAATTTTGATGAATTTTGAGAGGCTCTGGCTGTGTGTGTAAACAAATCCCAAGTGCTGACCAGAAGTGCGCGGGTATACCAGAAATAAAAAAAAACTCAGTTCATTCTACATTGTTAGTGATTTTTGTTGTTACATAGTGAATGTGGGCGCGAGGAACACTTATAACTGTTGTTAGTGAGTGAGCCAAACGCCTTCAAAGTGTCTCAAGGTGAGTGGTCGCTCCAAGACTCCCTTGCAACAACAACAACACTCACCACTCAAATCAGATCTTAGTAAGTCAGACACGATTATGTACTTAATGCACAGTGCTCTTTACTCAACTCTTGTTTACCAATAAAAAATGATTGTAAGTGACTTGGGAGTAACAACAGGACCCCCAGAATGTGTACTTGACCCTGGCAGTGAGTGGACCCCGTGTCCTCCTGTACTGAATGTTCCCTGGCACAGGTCCACTTCCCATAAGCTCATTAATTCTTTAACCCGCGCCTCGGATATAAACATTGATTCTTTCGTTACTGTTGCACATATGTTGGCCGGGTTCATGTTGTTCTCGTGTTGGTAACTAAGAGTGGGTGGTGTAGTTAGCATGTAGTGTCGTGGTGAGTACGTGGTTGTGTAGGTAGTGGAGGTGTGTGTTAAGGTAAGACTACTCGGTCACCTGACCCAGTCGCCCTTGACGGTGGCACACAGGCCGACCCAGGTCACGTATTACTGCCCCCTCGCTCATCTTCACTATATATTTACGGTTCTGCCAGTGTGTTTCTCAAGTATTTTAATGTCGATAATTTTTTATATGTATGTGTATTTGAATTTGTATATTTAGTTCTGTTATATTAGTAATTCAGGTAACTTAGCGATAAAGTGTCTTAGGAGGTGTTAGTCAAGTGGCAGAGTTCTATCATCGAGTCGGCGAGTGAGCTAAGAATAGTCTATATTCATTAGCTATCTGACGTAGGTTAATATTGACATTGAACTTGTGCTTAATATCAGCGGTGTGAGAAGTGTTATCTCGAGGACGCTTCAACAGTTATGCACTATGCAGCATACAACTTGGTACACATCTATATTCTTGTAAACTATTCCACGGTCTTAGGGTAAAAGTTGTAAGAAAATAGGAAAATTGAATGTGATAAAAAAGCAAAGTTGAAAACAGTAGGAGAGTAAAATTAAGATTTTAAATTATATTTCGCGCTCACATTTAAATGAAGAGTGAATGTGGGATAGCCAGAGACTGTGGGGGTGAAAGCTGGGCCAAGTGCTGCTTTCTCGGCTGGGAGGGAGATCACTGTAGCCCACAACTGCGCACCACTTATACCACCCCCTCCCACAGCTGGAGCCTTCAGTTTTTGAGGACGATGTTCCTTGTTGCATCTACCCCTGGTGGTGTAACGGGGGGCCTTGTCTCAGGTAGGACCTCGGTGTGTGTTGACCCCAGCTGCTTAAGTCTTCAACTGCGCAAATCACTACGTGACGTCCACTGCTGCTGCAATGGTCCAGTGGTGACGTGCTCCTTTGTTATGATTCCCTACGTGGTTGTTATGGAGACTTTGCTATGGTAACTTCACCGTGCCAGATGCTGAGGTGTGCGAGCAACAGTTACTGAGTGGTGACGGTGTGTGCCTTGTCCAGTGAGGTGGTGTGTTGTGGCCGCGTTTGGCTGAGAGGGGACACTACCAAGACACAGGAAGGCCCAGCTAACACTGCCTCTCACCACCACAAGTGCGTCGTGCATATGTTTACCGCCAAATAAGCAGGGTACGCGCCAGTAAGTACCACCCGCTGTTATTTTAGTTATTTTTCAAGAAAGAATACAGGGAGATATATACCGCACACACACACACACACATATATATATATATATATATATATATATATATATATATATATATATATATATATATATATATATATATATAGTAAAACAACCTTTGTGTTTATTGTTAATGGTTACTTGAATATTAGAGTAACGGTACTTGTGACTTACATATTAACAAAGGTGGATGGGCAGGCCAGGATGGGCAAGTGGCGTAACCTCGCTCATAACTAATTTGGATTCATATCGTCAAGGACATCTCTTATATAAAACTTAACTAAGAGACCGATGGTAAGTGACAAGAGGTGGTGTGTGTTGTGGTAGGTACAGTGACTGGTGGTAATGTTGTGTGTTGCTCCCCACGTGCAACCTATTGAGCCTTGTGCAACCTATTGAGCCTCGTCCAACCTATTGAGCCTCGTCCAACCTATTGAGCCTCGTCCAACCTATTGAGCCTCGTCCAATCTATTGAGCCTCGTCCAACCTATTGAGCCTCGTCCAACCTATTGAGCCTCGTCCAATACTTATTAGTGTCTTTATTGTTCTATGTAACGTTGTGCTTTATTTTTGATGAACGACAAATATATTTTTCTTACCTTCAGTATATAAGATCATACGTGAGAAACTAAAGCCTTTATTAGCTCTTAGTTGAAGGGTCTTAGTCGAGTCCTTAACCACGATCAATTCATAATTTAAATTGCATTTTATTTTATCATATTTTTCTCGTCCGTTGAGTCTCGGTTATTCATCTTGTACAAAGGTCTCTCCTGGCTTCCTGGCTCCCCAATGAGATGATGAATCATACCACGAGAACTTGGCCGCCCTACTTGACTGCACATCAACGTTTTGGCTGCACCCACCCACTGTGACCAAAATAATACTGTTGTGTACTTCACTGTGGAGTTACCCACCATCCCTGGGGGGAAGGTCTTATCCTGTACATCTCCAGTCTTACTACCTGGGGGAAGGGTTAATCTTCCCCTGGGAGAAAGGGATAACCTGACAGTCTCTAGCTTCATTGCGTGAGGGAAACGGGTTTATTGTTCCAGGGGCGAGCATGGACAGGGGGTCAGACCAGTCCCGGGAGAAAGGGTTAACCTATCCATCTCTTAATTTCAGAACCCGAGGGAAAGGGGTCTACCCGCCCCTTGGGAAAAGCTGGAAATTTTAACCCCCGACCAGCTGAACTTTGAAAACCTTGTAATTAAGTTTAGTTAACTCGTGTTGAACGGCTCAACTGTATAATGACACAGCGTTGTCATTGTCTCAAAAACACGTGTGCGCCTTTGTGTGTCTGTGTCGTAGATCTCAGAGCTATCAAGTTTTAACGCCAAAATGAGACACTCCAGTTTCGAGATGGGGGTACCTTCTTCCCCGAACATCTTAGATTGGCTGATATTTGTGGTTGGAAGAATGGCTTGTTAGAGGCGACGTTTGGACCACCTGATGCTCGTTTGAGTTTGACACCAGTCGTTATTTGGTGTGTGTGTGTGTGTGTGTGTGTGTGTGTGTGTGTGTGTGTGTGTGTGTGTGTGTGTGTGTGTCGCCTTTCTTTGTGTATTTTTTTGTAGACACTGAAGGTGGCTGATATAGCCCCCCCGCCCCACTGAGGGTAGCTGAGAGACCTCCCCACTGAGAGTAGCTGGGAGGCACCTCCCCCCACTGAGGGTAGGGTTGAGACAAAGGGTTCTCTTAGACAATGTTTTGTAGAAGTTTATAGATCGATGAGGTAAGATGCACGTGTCCATGTGTGTGCATATGCGTATGTGTATGCACCGCACGTCTATACGTGCATTCATTCGTGTATGTATGCATTCGTTCACGCATGTTGCATCCTTGTGAGCAGCATCTAGGCGCTATGAGAGTGAGTGGTGCGCGAGAGTTGGTGGGTGCGGCGCGAGGCAGCCGCCATCAGAATCAGCTGGAACTGTTTGTAAACAGAGCGGAGGGAGGGAGGGAGGGAGGGCCACCACCGCCCGCTGCCTCGCGCTATTGATTTTCAACCCCTCGCATTCGACACTCCTCCCCTCAGCCAAAACCACCCGTAATCGACACCCCTCTCCCCCCCCGCGCTCCCCTCCCTCCTTTAATCCACACGTGATCGATATCTTTCCATGCAAAGGCACAGTTAATTGAAACTCCACTTAAGCGGCCCACCAGTCAATTTAATTACTGCTCTGCTGTAAATTAACAGGCCTTTGTTGAACGTCGCCATCAAGGCTGTGTTAAGGGTTAGGTTTGATCAATGTCTGTTGAAAGGCCCGCGAATTAGTTGTTAAGGGTCAAATAGCGCCTCCCCCCCATATTGACCCCGGTTGAATAGGCCTGTCCCCCCCCCCTCCCGTTTTAGGGGGTTGGGCCCAAGAGGAGTGGGCCAGTTGACACTTTTGTTTACCTTCAATTAATACATTTGTTTATCACCAGTTGACACCTTTGTTTATCACCAGTTGACACCTTTGTTTACCACCAGTTGACACGTTTGTTTACCACCAGTTGACACGTTTGTTTACCACCAGTTGACACCTTTGTTTATCACCAGTTGACACCTTTGTTTACCACCACTTGACACGTTTGTTTACCACCAGTTGACACCTTTGTTTATCACCAGTTGACACCTTTGTTTACCACCAGTTGACACGTTTGTTTACCACCAGTTGACACCTTTGTTTTCCACCAGTTGACACATTTTACCGCCAGTTGACACCTTTGTTTACCACCAGTTGACACATTTTACCGCCAGTTGACACCTTTGTTTATCACCAGTTGACACCTTTGTTTTCCACCAGTTGACACGTTTGTTTACCACCAGTTGACACCTTTGTTTTCCACCAGTTGACACATTTTACCGCCAGTTGACACCTTTGTTTATCACCAGTTGACACCTTTGTTTACCACAAGTTGACACCTTTGTTTACCACAAGTTGACACCTTTGTTTACCACCAGTTGACACCTTTGTTTATCCCAGTTGACACCTTTGTTTATCCCAGTTGACACCTTTGTTTATCCCAGTTGACACCTTTGTTTTCCAACAGTTGACACCTTTGTTTACCACAAGTTGACACCTTTGTTTACCACAAGTTGACACCTTTGTTTACCACCAGTTGACACCTTTGTTTATCCCATTTGACACCTTTGTTTATTCCAGTTGACACCTTTGTTTATCCCAGTTGACACCTTTTTTACCACCAGTTGACACCTTTGTTTATCACTAGTTGACACCTTTGTTTACCACCACTTGACACGTTTGTTTACCACCAGTTGACACCTTTGTTTATCACCAGTTGACACATTTGTTTACCACCAGTTGACACCTTTGTTTATTCCAGTTGACACCTTTGTTTATCCCAGTTGACACCTTTTTTACCACCAGTTGACACCTTTGTTTATCACTAGTTGACACCTTTGTTTACCACCACTTGACACGTTTGTTTACCACCAGTTGACACCTTTGTTTATCA